CACGCGAGGCCGCCCAGCAACGAAGGGACGCCGCTTCACCCCAGCCACCAAGCTCGTCTCACTCGTACGCGCGTGGTCGTGACACGCGGTCGGTGTGACGCGCAGGTTTTTGGAGAAAAGCAGAAGCCACCCGAGATTCGTTCGAGATCTAGGCCCACAGGAATGGCCAAACACTCCATGTATGACGTATCCGTATTCGTATTTATATACATTGGACATATTACATACATTGGGGTGGTTTGGAAGGTCAATGTAGGTACAGTAAATATTCCATACATTACATTGAGTGTTTGGGAGATAGATTGAGATTTTAGAGATGAGGATCGCCAACCAAGTCTTGGATTGTTTGCGTCATCCACTCTGAAAACCACCGTTTCCTGGTAGAAAGTGTCTAATGGGGGGGCACATACAGCATACAATTGTGTAAGGGGATTGTCCAAAAAGAAGTCAAACAACATATCTAGCAAGTACCCTGCACACTCTTGGTGATAGTCTTGCCTCGGAATACCTTGGCACGGGCACTTCTCGGATGATCTCCTCTTGCAGGACTTGTGGCACTTCCACCAGGGTCTCATGCACCAGGGAGATGGGGATCCTCGGACGGCCCGAACCTCCGAAAGGTGAACGTTTTGGCAGTGCCACCCAATGGAGAATCATGAAAATCCCGAGCACCTCTAAAAATACATGAAAACGCGACCCAATGGTCGCAAGCCCATCATGTCGCGTCGAAGCCAATTGGTTAGCCAATTGGTTTATTTTTGTTCGGGACCGCCCGTGTTATAGGTTCCTGCATGGTTCTTCAGGTCACAAAACGGCCTGCAACAGGTCACAAACAGGGACTCCAAAAGGTCACGAACTGAAGAAGCTAGCAGCTGGCTATAAAATGCTATACGAAACAACAGCACATTGGATTGTTCGGATGTCATCGGGTTTCAGGTTGCTTTCATGCGAGTACTAGGTCAGCACGAGAACGTCCATTGCTCTACCCGACATATTCGTACGGCTGCATCGTTCGCCGATTCTTCCAACATTGGCCTTCCCTCCGTGGACGATTACACTCTGGAAGACTAACATGGACCCTGAAAACCACTGGTTGGTAGAGGAAGATCATCTTCCACGGGGCCATTGTCAGATTTGTCAGAGTGCATGTGAGTTTTCGGGAGTGTAAGTGTAACCACCAGCAGTTCCGACAGGAGTCTCGAGTCCCATCGAGTGAGTGGATGTGACAGGGGCACCCCCCTTCCACATCCCCTAACCTACTGGCGCTGGCGCTGGCGCTTCTGGGGACTCTCTCAGTTTCTCCCTCTCTTCACACGCTCGGACGCGTGGGACCTCTCCAGGGCTCTCTTCGACCTTCTCCACCACTTCGACGCGTGGGACCTCGACGGCCTTCTCCACCTCCTCCACCGTGGCCTGCTCTCGCAAGATGGTGTGATACTCCAAGCGCCGCTTGGGAGAGCTCACGTTCCGCCGATCCTGAACCTGTGTCACCTGAAGAAGAAGGCGCAGCCGGCAAAGCCAGTGGTGAAAAAAACAGCAACAAAGCCGCCCTGTTCTGCCGAGAAAGGTGGGTGGGAAGTCGAAGACACCGGAAAAAGGACCTCCTAAGGTCCTAAAGGGAGGGAAGAACTTATCCAACAAAAAACAACCAATATCAATCAATTGTCCAATTCCCTGGCAAATTCAGAGAATTGCCCAAGGTGCACCTCAAAAAACACATCCATAATTCATGTCTGGTCACAGGTGGAGCCATCATGACCGGAGCGGCCACCTCCACGGCAGTGACGGGTGCCGGACCCATCGTCACCGGGGGGGGCCATGTAGGTCATCGGAGCCTGGTGCTCAGCTGAGGGAGGGGATCTCGAAGGTCTCGACCCAGGTTTGAAGCTGAATGAAAGGCCTCTCTTTCCTCATAATTAGTGATGATTCATGACCCCTTGTTTGAGTCTTGCTGGGTGGGGGTTGTCTCAGTTTTGAAGTCTGAGATAGTCTGAGTCATGATCCTAAATTCCAATCGCACCAGATCCTAGGAGCTGCCTCTTGTCTGACAACCCTGTATGTATATTTGCATAATACACGATCTTGTATGTTCCAGCTGCCGGCATTTTCAACACAAACCATGGTTACGAATAGGTCGCAGGTCTGTTAATGTCCGACCATACTCCGCATAATTAGACTAAGAGTGGGCAAGTGTTGTCTCTGGAGCAAACCTAGCGAGCAATGGTCGTATAGCGTAGCTGCAGCTCATCCACGCAAACACACTCACCAAAGAATTCTTTTGGCACAAGGCAACGTACATATTTGCATCCTCCCAGAACGTCGCGGGGTTCGAACCAACTGAACCTTCGCACGGTCACGACCGCAACGACCGTCCCTCGCCGGTGCTCGTGCCGGTGCTGCCGCCAACTGCACCGAAGTCGCGGTCAACGGACCCGCCGGCACCGGCATCTGCACCGACGCCGCGCGCACGGGTGCTGTGGGCTCGGCGATGGGCTCGGCCGTGGGGGCGGTCATGGCCATCGGCCGCATCCTGGGAGTTAAGCAGGAAGAGAAGTAGGAGTAGTAGTAGTCGTCGTCGTAGTAGTAGTTGTTGTTCGATCTGGGGCCTCTGACCGGCCTCGAACTCGAAAAAGCAAACGTTATGTTTGTGACTGGCTCCAATGAAGGCTAATGCTAATTATTAATTACTATCAAATTGTTAAAGGTATGATGGAAAACACCATCTGGAAAGTGGCGTTTCTTCAGGTGACCATGAAAAAAATCCCCAGTCATCACATGAAGTCACCGTTCAAGAGTGACTGGGAACCTGCAAGGAGACAAACAGGAGGTTCAGAACTGATTGTTATATATAATACTCATAAACCATCATAAACCGCTCAAAGGCCTTTGATTCCCAGCGAACATGGCTGCAATGCAGGTCAACAGGTTTTTTTCTGTGAAAAAAACCACACTCAACAAAAAAGTGGTGCGTTGACGTTGGAAGTTCTGAAGGAGTCGGAATCGAAATCCTAAGTAAGGAGTTACACCAATCCCTGAAAAATGGGCCAGCTCCTTAAGAAATGAACAACAACGGCGAACAAAGCTCCACTCACTCAAACATCTGGAATTCAGGTCTTCACCTCACCTGTTTTTTCCATGTGCCTCCTAACATCAGAAACAAAACACCAACTTGTCAGGCTAATGGCGCCAGGCATCTGTGGCACCATCCCGGCACACATCCCACCGACCGCCTGCGGAGGTCCCATGCCCATCCCCACCACTCCACGTCGTTGCGCTGCGGCAAACCTGGAATCGGAACACACTTGGGTCCAAAAAACGTTCCGTTCCGTAACAGTGGGACTGCCATTAAGATGCTATGTTTTGAGATTCAATGAACTTGGTCCAACACAACAACCGATGAAAAAGAAACTATCAAGTCAAGTATTAAATCCCAAAGACTCTTCCCGTGTGAGGACGCCATCATTGTTGGTGTCCAGCGCCGAAAACGCCGAGTTCAGTGCGGCCGAGGCCATGGGTCTCGTGCGATGGGGCGCACTCTCTCGTGCGCCCCAAAAGCCAGCTTTTGGAGCCAAACGCAGGAGACTTGGTCTGGTAGGGGGTCGTGCGCACCGTTTTCTGTCTAAAAGCCCCGATGGAACACCAACCAGCAGAACATAGCAGAGCCAAAGGGGCCCTACCGGTGTTACACGGAGACGAATATCTGACTGGGCTTCACTATAGTGGGCTTGATCCCTCCGTATACAGGCCATGGCCCGAAGTTTGAAGATCTGACAAAGGCCATGCCTGATTGTCCAAATCCAGTGATATGAAATATGACCCAAACACTCCATGTACGGCATATATACCATACATGGAGTGTTTGGGTGATACTGTATATGGCGATAATATGATGAGATATGATATGTGTAAAGTTTAAGGCTCCACCGTTGCTGCACCAATAATTTGCAACTAAATGCCACTAATGAATTGGTTTCAATCCCCAGGCGTGCTTGGCTCAATGTTGAACCATTTTTTGTATATCATTACACATATCCAGTCCATCCACAGGTGAACCTGGCCACTTTCGCTGAGATGTCAGTCCCCTCCGGATCCGTCATGCAGGTGCGAATCAAATAAATCAAGATAGGCCCAGGTAGGAGGCCGAGGGTAGGTGACGAAAGCGAACGCAGGGGTGCATCCGTATCAGTGGAGGCGAAGCAAACAGCGCCGTCCAGCTGTTTGAAGGACTGGTGGGACATCAAGCGGAGGGAGGCAAATCTTTTTCATAGGCATGGGGCTGTTGGAAGGATGGTTCACAAGGCCTTGCTCATGAGGTAAAACCTTGTGAACATGTAAGACACACGAACAGCAATGACACAGCCAACCTTAGCATTCAAGTCCCGATAATTAAGAAAGCGTGGCTAGACGTTGCCACACGGTTCGATGCATGAGCAAACCAAGCTGCTTGCATGATTTGTTTGGTTTCTTCTATCAATGTCGATGTCATGAACCTGTGAGCTTGTTGAATCTGTTGCACCGCATCCCAAAACCTCCACGGAGGAGTTGAACCGGTGTCCCAAAGGCGTCCCAGGGGGGAGTTGAACCCCCCCGGGGCGGGGGGCCTACATATATGAAGTGTTCACGTGATGCGGCGATCTCGAGGATTCCAGCCCCTCACTTGCTAAAGCAAGGACAACTCCAGCTAGCTGGTGCTAGCTTTCGTGAAAAGTGAGCGCCTGCGTTGTTGTCACCCCAATGCCTGCAAGACCTGGTCCTCTTCTTCTGAGCCCAAGTTCAGGGTCAGAGGCCCTCCTCTTCATTGATGTCTTTTTGGCAATACAACAAAAAATGTGTGTCGCGATTAGGTACCGTAGAGCTGTTGGTTGTACACGGCCAGGGCATCGGCTTTGTGACGCAACCGGAACCATCGGCCGTAGGTCAGGCCCTCTTTGCTTCTCTTTGTCCACCCCGTTTCAGTGTGATTGGGGAGTACGTCAGGCGACGCGTCGTTTCCGTTGCTCCTGCTCAAAAGCTCCTCCTGAGATTTCTTGGCTCGCTCAAAGCGTTGCTGTAGTTCTGGCTGGTCCCCCAAGCAGGGACTGTACACCTGGCAGGAGGGAAACACCACAGCCAACAGTACCCCTTTCATCCCCTTTGTTCTGAAAGGAAGGTGGACTTGCTCCCCATGAAAGTGCACAAACTCTGAAAGACTTCGTCCTCGGGATGACCAAGAAAATTGTGGCATGACAGTGTCATCAATTGGCCCTCCTTTAACTTGGTTATAAGCCTCTGGACCATCTGGACATGATCTTGTGTCTGATATCGTGTCTGTGTCTAGTAGACTGACGCAGGGGTACAATCCGAACGGTCAAACGGCCCTTTCTGACAGTGTCATCCATGTCGACGCATGAAAAAAAGCGAAGCGCACAGCGAAGCGCCACTGCGAAGCCGAACGGCCGAGGACACGGCGATGCAGGAAACACGGCGTCGCGGCCTCCTCGGGCCAAATGGAAGCACAGGAGGGGCACCTCGGCCGGAGCATCTACACTCCCTGGATTCGAACGGAGGAAAAACCCTGTTTGTAGAGGAAACGGGTCTTCCCAATGGCCATGCTATCCACTTCCATGTTAATTAGTTCCAGGAAGTGTATGAAACCTGGCATGGACCAGACTGGATGACGATTGGTTCCATGCGGCCATGTGGGTGCATTTCCAGGGTGTGCTGACCCCTGCTACAGGTCCTTCCAGCTTCTGAACATGCTCTCACAAAGACTGTGGGCCCCGTTGGCCTTCATTTTGGCATCATCCCTCGAATGGCACACAAAATAAGCCCCAGGAAACGAGCCAAACAACTTCGAAACGCTCCTGGTTGAGCCACACACTTGAGCTGGGAGCTCTGAAAACACATACTGAAACGGTTCGAGTATTGCGGTCACCATCTTTGTCATCAAATAAACACCTTTACTTTAAAATAACTTAAAGGTAATGTCCTAAAGCTACTCCTCAACCTTCCTTCCGGGGTGCGCAACAATGGAGATCCACATAGTACTTTGAGTAGTTGCTGGAACTCACCACTCCTCCTCCACGTAAGCCTCCCGGCTTCACCACTCCTCCTTGCTCCGCCTGGCTCGTGACGTAGGTGGCCACCTCGGTGGAGACGGACCATGGAAGTGAACCAAGCAGGGTTGAGTGAAGCAGTACAAGTCTTGGTTCTTGCTCTAGAAGGCTGCGGAACATCACCCTCGCCACACATTCGTGGCCGTTCTGCCCAAACATCTTCCGTTGCGTTTTGGTTTCGCATTTCCGGGCATGACTCTACAAAGAACCAAACCAAAACCAACCAACAAAGAAACATGAACTTTAAAGGAAAACATCAACACACAGAAACCCACACACTTTGGATCCACTTTGGTCCTTTTTTCTCGCTTACCTCGGTCGTTCGCACATCTGAAACAGGTCACGGCGCTTGCAGCTGCACGACACCCCCGGGCCCTGGAGGGACCCAACCTAGGTCACCTGATAGCAAGGAGCGTTTCGTCCGAACTCGGAGGTGCAAACGTGTTTTAAAACACCAAGTGGACGATTGGTTTACGGGAAATCAACATGAAACCACGGCTTTCACCACCAAAACCAATGCTGAGAGAAATCCATGCCATTGCCGGAATCCTATATACATGGATCAAAGGAGGTGGGTATTTCAGTCACTGACTTCCCTTCGAAAAACTGTTACTGGATGTGCGTTTTCAGTCCCGGGTAGGTCAATGCTAAGACTAAGGGGTGGTCGCGTAAAACAAACCATCAATATATATATATATAAATACAAGGCTTAGATTGAAGAGGAAAACAGAACCATGGAACCCCCCTGACATTGCATGGTCACTTGGTGGATCACAGCCAGGAGCCCACACGCAGGTGCCATGGAAGGAGGTGCCGCAGGGACACACGCAGTGACGCCCTGGGATGTCAGGTGATGCTGAAGTGTGTTCTTGCTGACGCTGGCAACGAGGCCAGCAAGGGCGCTTTTGGTATTTGCCAAAAGCCCAGTGATTAGGTCGATCATTGCAACTGTGATTTTGGAAAGTCACTGCAATTAAATATATAGCCTTGTATATCCATGGCCTTTCCCAGACCAACACAGGTTCACTAAACACCGGTCTTCCCACATGGCACCAGCCAAGGGCTGGCGGAGTGACCGCGTATTGGTCCCACAGCGCCGTGGCGGGAGGAAAGCAGAAGAGGTGCCTATTAAATATAGATAGACTTCTACAGTTGGGTCTATGTCTATCCTATTACATGTAACAGCGGGTGAAGATAATATAAAATGATTGTTTCTGATTGTTTACTGACTGTTGCAGGTAATAGGACAGACCCAACTTATAAGTCTATCTGAGTCGATCTATTTGACTGGGAAGGCCATGGTGTGCTTGGTGCAATGTCCGGTTGCTTCGAGAGCGTGACTGGGCGTTGCTCGTCTCCATCGGTCTACGGCACGAAGGGGGTCGAAGCCGGATCACGCTGCACTGAGGAGGCGAAGAGCAGGAGAAAGCGGCATCGAGCAGGGAGAAAGCCGGGCAAGCTGCCGGCAAGCTGCCCTTTCAGGAAGGGGGAACCCCAAGACTCAAGACCCGGTCATTGGAATCTATGGACAATCCAAAAACCGTAAAAGAGGAAGTCGGATCAAGTCTTCAATGTTGCAGGAACTTGTCGTTCGCCCAGCTGAGCAGCTTGAGTTTACCACTCGTCAAGATACTCGTCAAGCAGCCTCTGCAGCCTCTGCTTCCTGAGCTGTCAAACGTCCGCATGGGGAGCGGAGGCCTGAGCTTCCACCCACCCGGCTGACTCCAATGAGTGCCAGCTGACTCGGTGTGATCTTCAGCACTGAAACGCTTTCATCATCCAACACTGTGGCCGTGTCACCGCAGCTGGCATCGGCAAAACACCGCCTGAATATCACGTGATCTCCCAGGAGATATTGACAATAACTTGTTACTAGTAGCGATGAACTTGTTTCAAATAGCTTCTTGTTACTACTAGTAAGGCACTTGCTACTAGTAGCGATGCACTTGTTTCTAATAGCTTCTTGTTACTACTAGTAAGGCACTTGTTACTAGTAGCGATGCACTTGTTTCTAATAGCTTCTTGTTACTACTAGTAAGGCACTTGTTACTAGTAGCGATGCACTTGTTTCTAATAGCTTCTTGTTACTACTAGTAAGGCACTTGTCACTAGTCGCGATGCACTTGTTTCTAATAGCTTCTTGTTACTACTAGTAAGGCACTTGTTACTAGTAGCGATGCACTTGTTTCTAATAGCTTCTTGTTACTACTAGTAAGGCCCTTGTTACTAGTACCGATGCACTTGTTTCAAATAGCTTCTTGTTACTACTAGTAAGGCACTTGTTACTAGCAGCGATGCACTTGTTTCAAATAGTTTCTTGTTACTACTAGTAAGGCACTTGTTACTAGTAGCGATGCACTTGTTTCTAATAGCTTCTTGTTACTACTAGTAAGGCACTTGTTACTAGTAGCGATGCACTTGTTTCTAATAGCTTCTTGTTACTACTGGTAAGGCACTTGTTACTAGTAGCGATGCACTTGTTTCCAATAGCTTCTTGTTACTACTAGTAAGGCCCTTGTTACTAGTAGCGATGCACTTGTTTCTAATAGCTTCTTGTTACTACTAGTAAGGCACTTGCTACTAGTAGCGATGCACTTGTTTCTAATAGCTTCTTGTTACTACTAGTAAGGCACTTGTTACTAGTAGCGATGCACTTGTTTCTAATAGCTTCTTGTTACTACTAGCAAGGCACTTGTGATTCTAATAGCTTCTTGTTACTACTAGCAAGGAACTTGTTACTAGTAGCGATGCACTTGTTTCAAATAGTTTCTTGTTACTACTAGTAAGGCACTTGTTACTAGTAGCGATGCACTTGTTTCTAGTAGCTTCTTGTTACTACTAGTAAGGCACTTGTTACTAGTAGCGATGCAGTCTTGTTTGTGACATACTTTGAGCAATTTGGTGGAAAGTTGTCTTCCCGATACCACTTCCCACCTGAACAGTTTGGCTACGCTACAGTAAGAAGGGCATCCCGCTTCTGGAAGTGAAACATGGATATAGGATGATTTGGGGGGAGTGAGGGGAGTGAGTCCACCCACTTCTCCTGTTCTCCCTACTGTGGACTATAGTGCTGACTCCTGACTGCTGAAATCTTGATCAGCAACCTTTCCACCTTCCATTGGAGCTTCAAAAAGGTATCCATCCAACGCTAACGATCAATCAGGGTGCTGCAGGACTGGTATCGGCCACAGGAAGCATTTCACAAACCCTTTCTAGACCCGAGCGCGCTAGCATCTGCAACCATGGTGGACAACTACGATGCGTTTGAGTTGTTGGGCTTAACCCTTCAAGAACAACAACATAATAATGATCTTCAAAAGTCCTGCTCCACATCTGTTGTACCGACTTGATGATTCGATACATGGCAAAATATATGCAAATATCATGTTTAACTGGCACTGGCTTCAAGGCCCCCTGCTGCACCGAGCAACGGAATCTGAACAAGTCAAGTCATCTAAGCAAAGTAATCAGGCCAACAGCTGTTTGCTTTGCTGATCGTTGCACGTTTCAATATTCAGGGTTTTTAAACCTGACTGTTTCGCCGCCTGTTGCGGACATCACTTACATATCATGGACTATACGACTGTAAACAAGGTAGCGGCGTCATTAATGTCCCCGCTGTATTTTAGCGATTCCAAACATGAAAACTGCACGAAAACAATGTTCCTAATAGTTTACGAACTGCATTTCGACTGTTACTTACAGGAGAACGAACAATTTTGTCAGAATTCCGTGTCAAATGTTTCGGTCCGAAAGCAAAAAAAGCAATTAGTAGCAGGAAGGAAGCTAAAAATGTTTTCACACTTCACGACATAGGTCTCCGAGACATGAGTCTAAAGGTGATTGGAGACTCTCTGATGTAGGCGCCAGGAGTGTCCAATTCTGCAGGAGAAGGTGCAACGGACAAAAAAATCCAGACGGGTTTGAAACACGCATGTGCGCAAGAAAACATGTGTGCGCAACACAGCACGCTTCGTGTATACATCTTGGTGTGCAAAGCGCAGAAGAGTGTCCTTTGTACGGGTGTGCAATTTGAACGGAACGTTAACATCCCCCCCACCCCCCCACATGCTATGATGTGCATGACGGACACGAATGTCAAAAAGACATGTAAATACAACACGAAACTACAAAGTGCCGCAAATACCACACGAAATCGCGCGCAAACCCTCAAAAACAGAGGGGTCGTTAATGACGCCGCCAGCGTAAACAAGGGCGTTAAAAAAATATATACATAACCATTAATATATATATATATATATCCACATACAACTATATATGTATTTATATATATATTATACCGGATTGTAAAGGCATTTCGGCCTCCCAGGAGATACCACGTTCACCATGGGTCGAAACAAAACCGGTTTCACCGGGCCAACTCCCCATCCCAACTGCCTTGGTCCTCCAAACTCTGCAGGCAAATGGGGCAGTCGGGACCTGGTTGGATGTGACCCGGGTGAGACCGGTCAGAGGGTCGAGGGTCCACCGGAGGATGCTCCGGACCGTCGAAGACCGTCGGGCCGAGACCGCGAAGCGAACGAAGGATGTGCTTTGAACAAGGCGCAAGCTGATTGGCACCTTTGAGCACTCGAGAAGACCTTCTTCCAACACATCTTCCAATCAAAGGTCTAGTGAGCTCCCAAATCCGTCGTGAAGGATACGGATTTGCTGAATGTTCTTTGACAAATTAGAAATTCCAGTTCCAATTGTGTTCATCGCGTGGTCAACAGCACGAAGCTTCAAAAGTGACGTGTTTGTTTCCAAGCCTGGCCGCCCTTCAGTCATCCAAGCGCCACCGGGCATGCACAAAGATGCACGGCCATGGTGAGGACGAGTCTGTGTTTTGCTATGTGTTTTTTTCCACAGCGCTGCCCCGTTTGGCCATGGGGCAGCGCTCGCTACGGCATGCAACTCGTTGAGATCCGGGTGGAACATGATCGTCTGATGTTACATCAAATGACAAAAGCACCAAAACATCAAGTCCACAGTCTAAGCTACCAAATTGCCACTCCGCCATGCTATGCATCTGTTCATTTGTGTCGGAGATAGCGCAGCAAATGGCTATATAAATGTGTGCGCTTGAAAATCTATTTGTCCAAACGGCACGACACCGCCCGATGGCAAACAAAGACGGACGTTTGTGCATGGTTGCCCTGAATGTTGGGGGCCCTCACCCAGTGGCTTTTTAGTTGTATCTATAATTGTTAAGATACAGTATGTAGTCTATGCTTTGTTTTTTACCAAATGCTCTTCAGTCTTTGAGGTCTCCCTATTGACACCCACACACACAAGAACGAGAGAAACACACACAAGAACGAGAGATTACTGTCTCATTCTGAGTGTCAACATTGGGACTTGTGGAACTGGCCTCCAAGTGCTCAAATAATCTAGATCAAAACATGGGAATAAGATCTCTGGCACCAAGGATCCCTTCTCTGAACTCTGCAGGTCTTCCTCGATCACCAAAGGCTACAAAATCTCTTGACATGTCTTCTCTTAGCCCCAGGGGGTGCATCTTCCATGGGGCGGAAGAAGAATCTGAAGGTATACCCCCTTCAGGCCTTACCTCATCTCCTTCGACTGGTGGCCAAAATGGCGAAATCCGCAACAGCTACACTCCCTGAAACAATCACTTCCAGTGGGTATTTGGAAAATGGTCATCCAAGGACCATGCCACTTCTGTGATTCAATGATTGTTTCAGTCAGGTCAAACAGCCCAAACCTTCCGGAACTCCTCCGCTGAGCACCTCTCTCCACCCGGAGAGATGTTCCGAGGTCAGACCGGTCCGAACACCGGCCACTCCCAGCGTGGACACTCTGATCGGAGGCGCTCTGAACACCCCCTGTGCCTCTGTCAAGTTCCTGGCTCATAACGGGACCCTTCAAACCTCAATTGCCATATACTAGGCCTTTTCACGTAGGCCTGCCCGACATGTCGGACACCCAAGCAATCGTAGGCCCAGCTCTTTTTTAGGCTCCAAGGTCATCAACCTCCTCTTCTTTGCGGCGCGCATTCGCCTCGATTTGGCCGAGGAGAGTCTAACCGGCTTCTGTCTTGCCTGGAGCTAGGTATGGACGAAGAGCGATCAGGAAGAAATTGGGAAACTCCCAGCTCGGTCCCTCCGAACTGCTCGCTGTTCTGGTGGAGTATGGGTACTGCCGGGTAGTGCTCCACCTGAGCACCAGCCTGACCCACAAAGCATCCATAAACAAAGAATGGACCCGACACGAAGACCCACACCTTTCGACGTCGAAGGTCTCCGGTCTGTGAAGAGGTGAGCTTCACTAGGGATCCACCAGCTACCAGCGACCAGGAAATTCAACACACCGTTGGCACCCGTGGATGGCACCGCCGGCCACGAAATCCGAAGCCTCCTTCCATGAGCAGTTGAGAGGGCAAACGGGGAACACAGTAAACATACACCAAACAAACCTGGAGATTACTGGATGCGTCTGAAACTGTAGACTTCATCTTTCATATCTTTCTCCCACAGGTCTCCAAATGGTTTGGGTGTCTCCCAAACCGTGGGCGTGTTTTTCTCTCCCAAACACGACTAATGGCACTGGCAAAAAAATGCCACCCCATTGGCCCTTCGTGTTCGCCACCACCCATGTGCCTACGCCATGCCAGTTTCCATGGAAAAACCGTTGGGTTTGGCGAGCCCAGTCCGACTCCGACCCTCACCCCCGAGCCTTCGCTTGGGTCACCGTGGCAAGGTCCCGCGGCCGGAAGACACCCGGCGCCTGTTGCGGGAGCGGCCGTAAGTGCCGTACAAGGAGCGGCCACAAAGGTGAGACGGTTGATTGAAACAAGACGATTCTTATGGAACATAAAGGTTGACATAACATTACACAACAGTATATATATATTATAATCAAGTGTCAACATTGACTCATGGGCCCGCAAACAACACCCAAACCTTCAATATTACACCCTGACTCACGTAGCAAACGACCTGTCCACTGGCCTTCGATGTCTTTGGAGCTTTTCCCCTTCGATGTTCGTTGGATTGGAGTGCGTTGTTTTAGATTACACCCGGAAAGAGACCCACATTTGAACCTGGCATGAAACAAATCGAAGATGAAGTTCCACCGAACTCGTTCAAACAGCTCGAACGACTTCTGGCCTCCACTTCCATGGCCACCCCGGGGCGCGGGGCCTCCGCTGCTCCCCGAGGCCGGATCACATCGGACCTCACGTCCTGGGAGTCTTCGCTGTTTCGGCTCTACACGGCGAATTGGGGACAGGGACAGGAACGCCAGCGACTCTTTGTTTTACATCACGAATAGAATCACAGTGACTTTTGTCTTGTGTAGCTGCATGTAGGCAACTCCTATGCACATTGAAGATTCTCTAGGTTTGATGAGGATCAAAATCGTGGTCCTACATGTAGCTGGCTTCGATCCAGCCAAAAACTGGAAGTGATACCACATATCCCAGCAAACATACAGTGCAAATGGGGAACTATCAAACTCCTAACCTTCAACTTTGGCTAATGCTTCACAAAGCAATCCTGCTTCCTCGATTGTTCATATCTTCTCATACCCATGGGCAAGACAAGACTTTTTTGCAATGTGTTTTGAGCATCATACCTTGAAACAATCACTTTAAAAGAACAGAACATGAAACACTCCAATTTAAACAATATTGTTGCATGCGAACATATCCATATTATATATGTATAATATTCATATTTCATGATTCGTGCTATGAAGGGTACATATACATATACATATATATATACATACATACACACATATATAATATACATATTATATATTGACATATCGTTCATGCGTTCATGTGTTCCTATGCGCGTTCTCACGCTCCAACTGCTACCATAGCATGGAACTGATTTCCAAGACCAAGGTCCATAGCAAACCTAGTGACTCAGTCATGGCACGGCGAACATCGCAATCCAAGAATTGCCACCTTCTTGGGCCAAGAAACATATTCACCTTCTGCAAGGTGGCTGAGACGACTTCGCAGCAGCCTCGCTGCGATGTACCATAGGTCGTTGGTCGAAAGCGAGGCAAAAACTCACCCCACAGGGCTGGTCTGGGCCCTTTTGATGGAGTTTTACAGTTTCGGTACCACTAAGACGGTACCCAGGTCGGTTCCTGGATGCGTCGATTTGGTGTTTTGGAATCTTGCTTACGTCCGGAGCTCGACGGATGCAGCGTTTCTGGCAAGTGCTGCCACTCACACCGACACATCAAACATCGACCACAGCCTCTGATCAATGCGTGCCATGCCCTTGAGGAGAGTGATTGGTCCGGTCTTCTTCTTTTCCTTACTTCAGCAGGATCGCGCTGGTTCCAAGTGGATGTGGTTCGAAGAAGAATTCTCCTGCACCAATTGTAACTTCCAAATATATTTTATACCCATTTGCTTTCAAATGTGCAAAAATATATATATATATTGTAATCTGGAACTAGAACAGTGGCAATGCCGTAACGCGCCCCCGTTTCCACAAAACAAAAACACGAGCAATGGATGGGTCTCTTTTGGTAATTGCTTTTTCACTAAACTTTTGGGGCAACCAAGTCTGGATTTTGAACAATCTATACAATGTACAAAGGACAAAAGCACAGGAGCCCCCGGGCGTGCAAGGGAAAAAAGCAAACCTGTATGAAGCTTCGATTCTTGTAGTAACTATGCCGCCTTCTTGCAGGAGCCTCGAACCTGACTATGCCGCAAGTCCTCCAGCACAAAACCGGCTAAACACCTATATATGGCTCAAAAATAGGCTCAGGGACATTGACAGTTCAACCAGGCTCCACTGCAACGAAATGGATCCTAGGTCCTGACATGTCCAGAGTCCTGACCATCGAATTGTCAGTCGGTTCTTAAGGGGCTGTCCATAGGTCGCCAAGGTGGTTAGACCAAGTCTAACCAATGGTAGTTCAGTAAAATATCCCTTCTAAGCCAAAAGGACTAAGCGTTTCTAAGGAGAAACCTCACAGAAAGACAGGATCACCCAGGAGAAACCACAGTGAGAAGGCCAAATCGTGTATATACTGGCGTCTCGTTATCGGGTTCGACTGGTTCGACTGGCCGTTTTCGTATGCATGGATGACTCGCGAGTGACGCCAAGGCTCGCCCACCACGCACTCGGGCGACAGTAGGCTCCGTTCATGGACCGGAACCCCTCCAACGGCCCCACGCCAAATGTCCTACGCGTGGGCACAGTCATCCGGTCCACTGGGATGGTCCCCTGAAAAAGAGCAACACTACAGTTGCTTAGTGGTGCAGAATTGTTCCTTCAGTTTGCCTGGAAAATGGAGGTTAACCTGTTTCTACCTGTTCCATCGGCCAAAGTAGGGAAACCACTCCACGGGCGAGTATCTTTTGTATAAATGGTGTAATCGGCTGCAGATATGGCTTGCCACAAAGGTTCTGAGTTGTCAATGAACATGGAACAGTTCAGAACTAAATACGGGGTGACAGTGGTTTCAGAGTAGATCTCTAAATGGGGGTCCATCTCCATCTACAAGTACTCTGAAACGACTGTTATAGTATGACGAGTCGTTAAGACTCTTTGCACTTTAAGATGGACATGCTCCGGATGATTCAAGCCCGAGTGCGTATGCATAATCATCGGGCCCTGATGAACCGTCCAAGTATTAATGATCGAATAGCAACAAAATAGTCTAAGGGTATAGACCCCAAAATGGACAGAAAAGTAGAGCCCCACTAAAAATGTATCGGACACCGCTTGTACACATCTCGCTTGGGGACCACTTTATGTATCTTTATGTATAATATAGTCACACAAGTGCCAGTGCTTGGGGAATGACCCAGCTGTCCCAAGGTGTCCTGTGACTCGGAGAAGTGGACCTCCACTTCCTCATCCTCCTCTGGCTGAGCCCAGCCACCTCCAAGCGACTGCGAATCTCACAGTGCTCGTTTTGTGTGGGTTGGGATGCTGAAACTATCATAACTATCAACGTGGCGCTATGTCACTAAGTATGCATATAAGTGATATATGTGAACCACAACCGTCGCAACAGGGTCAGGATAAATAGATACATGATGATACATGATGCAAACACACTGCTCACGAAGTCCGCCATCGCATCAAGATGTACAAAGGACTGCCGGTAAAGCCAAAGGACTGACAAACAAGGGGAGCGCAAATAGATTTTCTCGCCCAAGGTCCCATGAATTCCCAACATCCATGTGTTAGGAGGTACAGTATATCCGAACCGGGCTATAAATGATGGCTGCCATTCGTCCTTTTACCTCTCTTCAACAGCAGCTGTTGAACGGGGTTTCATCAGTTCAGCCACACATCAACATAATGACATAGTTTTTGCCAAGTGCCAAGCACGAGTTTTTTTCTCCGTCTGGAGATGTCTGGAAGATGGTGTCCAAAACGTTCCGGTGATCAGCCTTTTCTATCCAGTTGGTGCACCATTCAGGTCGAAGAACAGTCACCATCACCCCCCACCTGAGATCGATTCGGACACGTAGGGACCCCTCACAGCGCCCAAGCAAGCGTAGGCATCGCTCGCATCGCGAGCGGCATCGCCCATGAGGCAGTCCTGAGACCGAGACCGAGACGCACGAGACCGAGACCGGGGTGGCACCGCTCTTGAACAGGGTTGCAACCCAACAATCCTTGCTCTTTATAGCTCAGTTAAGTCGGGTTGCATGTCCAAATCCTTGGTGTTTCGTGTCTCCTCTCTTTCCCTTCAGACAAGGATGCACGTCGCAGGATGCTGCACAAGGAAGAAATCAACATGCCGACATCACAGAGAACCCACAATCTCTACGAGGACTTCAACATCTATAGGGTGTCGATTAAAAGAAGTGCTGGTTTGAGCACGCCGCTGAGATCCAATTCATCTCGCCAAATATTCAGAATCGATGTTTACACCCTTCTAAAGAAGACTAAAAGGTGCATCTCCAACGCTGTCTGCGAATGCAGTGTTTTGCCCCTCTTCTACCATATCGAATGCCCCTCTCCGAGATTCAGGGTCATGCTATGTCATTGCGATTCCGCCATGCATACTTTTGATGGGCTTTTCGTAGCATGCCTCGTGCTTTCCGTACCACAACTCCCTCCCCCAAAACCCTGCAAAGCCTCAAAAGCCGTCGAGTCCCCAGTTTTCCCCCCTGTTTTGAGCGATTGGGCGTATCGGCGCGTTCATAAACGTATCAAACAAAAAAGGCGTGGAAAACGTGTCCAATGACAATTTGCCGGGGAATCTCACTGGCCCCAGAACTTTGAGTCTTTGCTCAAGCGAAACGAATCAGGCCTCACAAACACTAGCTATTTAGAATTCAGCAAGTAGAAAAACATGAAAAAAAAAAGAACTAATTGTTGCAAAACACGCCTTCATCATCCCTCATCTGCAAAAAAGTCATCAAACCCAAGAGATATAGCAAGGTAGTAGCTCCTCATAACGGCATGGCCATTAGAATCATTGAACCGATGAGCAAAGCATGCCATAGATCTTCAAAGTGCATAAAGAAAACACAAAACAACAAAAAGGGTTTTGCGATCACAGTAAGAAACAAACAGAGTGCCAACCGTGCCAACCCAACGCCCCTTGACCGACACGCCCAGTCGACCGGCACCGGGCCTTGTCCGGGACGGTCTCCGCATCCGCTTCCATGGGACGGTCGAGGTGAGCCCAAAGACCGACCCCAAAAGAGGTCCAAATCGGTCCAAGATCTGTTCTTGGCTTCAGAAAAGGTCCAAGACTTCCAGTTTGTGATGTTTTAGGCGCAGAAGCTCACACCACGGTTCGCAACAATGGTGAGAAAAGCATCTAGGACATCCGTCCCAAACGAGCCAGGAGACCAGCATCTGGATGTTCAAACGGGTGCCGAAGACCTCTGTGCCGTGTATGCTACGAGTGCTTTTTGACAGCTTCAAAAAGCGAAGCTAGCTGCCGCTGTACAGCTTTGGCCTGGACATCATACAAATTCGATTGCATCTGAAACAAACAGCTCAGACCGGTTGAAAACCCACGTATGCTTATCACAGGCTTCAGAAAAACACGTGGTACCGTGTTACCTTGTTGTCTCGCGATCTAGCGTCCAAATCGCTGGGATCCAGCGTCAGGTGCTGTGTACTCGGTTTACTGCACCAAATCATCTTCGCCGCCCTGACCCGAAAAATAGGCCCTCCGGTTGGGGTTGGGGCTCCGCATGATTTGGGTCCCTAGCGACATATCACTAACATTACATATCTGATGCTCGTCTTCCAGCGGTCTTCTATGCCTCCCCAATGGCAACACACTCTTCCAGAGTTCATATATGAAATGTCCTTATATCATGCGCCCCCCCAGTAAATGTCCAGAAAATCATCTTATATCATGTCCCCTATCCTACCAGAAACAGTTGATGATGAGACGAGACGTGAAGGCCTTTCTCTAAAATAGTGATAATAGTTTACCGACTGTTACAGGTAGGAGGAGGGACACTGTCCTCCGCGGTGCTCGCCGAGCACGGCAGCAGAAGCGTCGGCCCGCTTTTTCTGAGACGTCCAGTTCGATGACTGAAGCTATTGCCGGTCTCCTCCAACAAACATGAAGAAACATGTACAACAGTTGAAATTGAGGCGGCATATGTAAATATATATATATATATGTGTGTTATAAACAATCGCCAACAAGGAGGTTTTAAACTTGGCTTTTGGAGCCTCAACCAAAGGTTGGAGGAGTGAGCCACTGTACATGTCCTACTGCTGAGATTAGTCCAGGCCTCTTCGTGTTGGTGTCTGTTGTCAAGCCGCATCTCCCAAAGTACTGAGAAGAACCATATTTATGCCATTCCCTCCATGGCATTTATGAAGTTCCACTTGGTAAGACTGATCAACCACAAATATTCCTGGATTCTCCTGTGTCATGTTCTATGCACGGTGCGGTTGGAACAAATGGGGACGCCAGGCAAGCTAATGGAACAAGGACCACAATATGACAACAGTCTTCAAGCATGGTTCCCTCACACCTGACATACGTGACATACGAGTTCGCCAAACAGAAACCACTGATTCGAATCTGAAGGCATGCAAAGACATGCTACAATGTCACGTTCTCGCCCCCCCAAAAAAAGGGCCCACTGACAGCTTTCTAGAAGCTCACCGAACCGGTTGGTGAGCCTCACCAGATCTACTGTAGGCTCTTGATTAAAACCCTCCCTATCAAGAGGCTCCAAATCATGTTCTTCAACATGCCAAGGAGTACATGAAGCCCACCTTACAGTCAACAAACCCTGGCCAGGACCCGATCTCTGGAGAGTCCGCGAATTCTCTTTTCAGGTCATTTGCGGATCCTGCGCATCCCGGGCAGCTGGCTGGCTATTACTGTGGCTATTACTGTAATATATATATGTATATAATGTCATAATAGCATTAGTTATACAACATATATAAAGGTATACATTACATATTGTTATATTATAGTATAGTTATATATATATATTACAGTACATTATCTACTCCAGGCACTCGAATGATCATGCAAACATGGTCAAATGTGTTTTTGCTTGTGTTATCCATTTTCATGCTAGAACATGTAGAAGTCAGTGATGGCAAACACCCGCCTATGATATAAAGTGAACATGTTTGCTACAAATAAACGTTCTTCAAACATGATATGATATACAGTAATCAAATAGTACAACCTTCCGTCAAATATTCTACACGTAACCACCAAAAGGCCCCTGGCCAAACCCCATCAACCCACACCAACCCCCAAACCTAGGCACACTTGAGGCCAAGGGGGGGGGCGAAAGCTAGCGCTCCAGAATGGGAAAGTGGAGGGCAGCGAGGTAGGAAAAAACACGGCGCTCTTTTTGGAGGCAGGGGTGAAGAGTCCTTTATATGTGGCTCTTTGCCCGGATCCTCCTGCGAGAGAAGAGAGAGAAGAGAGACGGAAAGACGAGAGACAGAGAGGAGAGAGAGAGAGAGAGAGGAGAGAGAGATGAGAGAGATGAGAAAGAGATGAGAGAGATGAGAGAGATGAGAGAGACAGTGAGACAGTGAGACAGTGAGAGTGAGCGAGTGCGGCCGCAAGACAGGACGGAGTCGAACTTGCGAAGAGGGAGGAGGGAGGGAGGGAGGGAGGGAGGGAAGGTGGGAGGAAGACAAGGAGGAGGAGAGGGGAGGTGGGGTGGGGAGAGGGGAGAGGGGAGAGGGGAGGAGGGGAGAGGGGCGGAGGGGAGGGGGGGGGGTCTTCGACCTGAAAAATCAGGGGTTAGGATTTGCACCCGGTCGAAAGAAACCTTGCTATCGCAAGAGTAACTCCAGCTAGCTTCGCTAGCTTTCGTGAATAAAACGGTAATTGACAAGTTCAACAAGCTCGGGGGGACCAACCCATCTCCTCCAACACTACTTCGAAAAATACGGCCTGTTATGTTCACCAAAATCCCAAGAAAGCCTTTCTGCTTTGGATCTTCCTCTTGGGCCCGAGCATTTCCACTCTCGTGCTGGGCCCACGTCGAAACCTGCCGACGGGCCGGCGGAGGCACTCCGTGGGACGGGAAACAGACCGGTTTCCCTCGAAACAAGAGGCTTAACCGTCTTCCATCTGCTCGTATTTGGTGGGGAAACGAATCCCCCCCAAAAAGGTTTCAAGGTTAGCCACTTTTCTTGGGTAGGTTTGCTATTAACCCCCTTTCAACCCACAACTGATCGCCAGCCCCTCGCGTCCGCGGCTGTGGTGACCGGAACCGTTGGAGCCGATCACGTCTCGAAGATGTTTGACGGGTCGATATTTCTAGTGGAGCAAGGTTCAAGAGTGTCAGGAGTATATATATATATACGTGGATTATAGATAAATATGATGATAGATTATAGGTTGTCAATGTATATCAATGTGATTCTATGTTCTACTCAGTTCTACTCCGTGTTTTAGTTCTTCCCTGGCATGTTTAGACCATGTGAGAATGACCTTCCACTGAGACCACCAGTTGCATGCTACTAGGACCTGTGTGAGCTTAGTGTCCAAGTTTCCCAAGGGAGAGAAACACACGGGCAGATGCCCAAATCTCTTGATCTTGCATGGTGTTCCCTCTTATGGTTATAGTTGTGATCCCTGGTGCCCCTGTTTGGGTGCAGGTTGCAGAAACACGCCCATGACCATGGCCACACACAAAGCAATTCAGCTCCTGTGCCCTCGTCAAGTCCAGCATGGCTTGCTGCAACGCGCTGACCCAGTGAACCAAGTGGTTGGTCAAGGACATTACGCCCTGGAAGGATTCCACATGGAAAACTGAAAACCATAGGGGGTTGTAAAGGAACATCGTCTTCCAGTCTGGTCCATGCCATCAATCTCCAATTTGGGTCTCTTCCTGGGTGTGCAAAACTCGTCTTCCACGTTTGGAGTTGATTGCTTGGGGGCCATCGTCCCATTCCCTAGATTCCCAAACAATCGTGAGGATCTCCCCAATAAAGGACATACCGCATCACTTGATCAGCCAGAAGTATAGCAAGTCGCATTGAGAATATCAAACTGTGGATCAACGGACATCCAAGCAGGGACTAAAAGCTTTGCTATGTGAGTCTGCCTTGGAGAGTCTCCTGAATCCAGTTTCGTGCCATCAAATGGCCTATCTCCCAGGTGTCAACGTAGATGGCACCATCTTCCCAAGGTGGTTTTATGGACCAAACCTTCTGGGCCGGTGCCCGTCGCTAGAAGGTTTATGAACCCCGATATATTAAAAAAAATTGGGTTTGTGCATGTGTGCCATCTACTCTGAAACCGCTATTGTAATGAAACAGGTGGAAACTATTGAAATGAAACAGGTGGAAACACAAGTACTCCTTCCAACAGTTTGCTCTCAACGCTGTCTTGTTTCCCAGAAAATCACGCACCAATCACCAATCAGCCGAACACGCACCGTGTTTTGGCCGAACCCCCTCGCAGCGCCAGTGAGTTAGGCCCAACGTTCCGGCCGTGTGGCAAGTCCACCGTGCGGTCCAGTGTCCACTGAAGCGTAAAAAACGTTCTTCGGTGCAAAAAGTCCGGAATAGTCAAGAGCTGTCTGCTGTGGACATTGGAGTGGGTTCGCCTGATTCATTCGATTTTTTCTCTGGGCAACATGGTCGTTCAAGACCGATCTCACCGCTCCTAACTTGGCGTTTTGTGGGGTGGGGATACACCGTATACATATGGTATATAGCCAGCCAACTCTTGATGTTGATGGATTAGCTTTGAACGGCCTTGTTGCCCTTCAGTAAGGATGTCGCCCAGCTATGTCCTTCTGGCGGGGGCGTCCGTCTCAAGGCACTCAACGCGGTGATATCATCCTTGGAACGATCCCCAGTGCAACCGGATCGGGGTTCCTTCTACTGAGCGGTCCTGCTCGAGGGCGGTACCAAAGCCATGAGGGATCCAAGTACCGAAGTGGTTTGCGTGTTTCACTTGTGGTTAACTTAGTTTTTTTGCGGCAAGAATTGGTATGGTCTTTGTGAAGGATCTCAACCCCGTCAGTGGATCTCACGGATTGTCCAAATCACATTTGGCTGGGGTCATGGCACCAGGGGGCCTTGGCTGACCTACCTGCAAGGTCAAGCTACATGGTGTTGGGGCAACAGGTTTTGACCCATCCCCATGTCTTTGGGACTGAAGATGGAGGCATTGACAAAACAGGAAGTGAATGAGGCAAGTTCACTTACGATGGTCTTCTGGGCAACTAGTCATTACTTGGCACCTCTGCATATCTCAGAACATATGGAGCATGTGCAGCAATTGAGGACACACCATATGGTGATGCTCCTCATGGCT